TAAGAGAGTGCTCTCCAGACTTGTGGACGATTCATGAATGATCATCATACAAAGCTACACAGCAAAAGGTTTCACATTTTGATAACTGGTGTGTATTGATTGCATTTTGTTCTCCCACTTCTAATGTTATTAAATTTAAAGGTTGTGAATATGTAATATACCGTATACCACAGAGCTCATTAAATACATCTTTTACTTTGTAGACATTTAAATATTATGATAATGTGTTTCACAGAGAACAGTTTGAGAAGTTTAAATAGGATGAACCTTATCTTTAATTTCTGAATGGAGTACATTGAGAATGAAGAGTCTTTTGTCTCAGCATGACATAGTCTCGATGGTTTCAGAACTTAATGCATTACTGTGGAAACCTGGAGTCCTTACATAAATCATCTCAACTCTCAGCAAGAATTGTCCAACAGTGCCATTGATATGTTTAAGTCAATGATCCTGAAAACAACTTTTTGTCTTATTTCACATGTTCGACAACACTAATAGATCATCTTCGTTTAAAAGCACTCAGCAAGTTAATTTATCAAGCTGCAGTTATCAAAACCATATTATTTTTCAAGGCACAACTTTCTTTTTATCTCTCTTAACAGTTTTGTGCAATCTACCTTGGACACAGAGGACATTTTTCATGTACCAAAATATATGCTGTATGTAATAAGTTAATGCACTTACTCTGTGACCATTAACGTTTTCTAAGCAAAAAACAAAACAAAACTGAATTTACCCCCTTGCCGTCCGCCCGTTGTAAAAAAACGGACGGACGGCACTGCAGCATTGGCGGGTTGCCGTCTCCAGATGGCATTTTTTTTCTGCTCGCGCGCGCAGAAACGGGCAGAAAAGTCAACCCGCAGATAGGAGTCAGCCGTCCGTCCGTTTTTTCTTAACGGGCGGATGGCAAGAGGTTAAGCCAGCTTCCTCACTATAAACGGTGTCACTGAACCGCCATAGTGTCAGTAAACTGGAAGCTGTTGTAGGGAAACCTGACAAACTGAATAGAGAGATAAGGGTAAAATTAGAAACTGTACTTTAATTCTTACGTTTATTAAAAATAAACTTTTATTTCGGCGGCTATCTGAGGGTTTTCATTTATTTATGTAGTATTTGTTTATTTTATATCTATAGAGCCTTTATTTTAAGTTAAACTACACTTTCATATTGGGGTTTCCATTTGTTTTGTGTTTTTTTTTATAATTTTAATTTTATGTTGTTAAGGCACGCTACTGCTTTGCTTGAAAGAAAAAAAAAGTGAAAAACAGTGTGCACTTAAACCACCTCACATTATATAACTTACATTCATGACATTCCCCTATCCCCCTAGATAACATTTGTTAGACATGCCCCAGTTAGATCTATTATCCCTACTTAGAACTGTCCTGCTGCTGGCTGAATTTAAACTGTTGTATACTCTGAAGTATCTTAATGCTTGTAGTAAAACTACATCCTGCGTGCTTTGTCTCTAGTACATTTGGGCCTAGACTTAAACATTAAAATTGCCCTACTGTTGGGCAATTTTACACCTCTGTATTATCTGCCCTACTGTTGGGCAATTTTACACCTCTGTATTATCTGCTGTCTCTTAATTGTTGTAGTAAAACACCTGCCTGTACCCCTTCTTTTTCGCAAATTTAGGCCTATTATACTTGATTAAAACTGTCCTGCTACTAGCCAATTATCCTTGGCAGGATCCTAATTATTGTAGAGAAAAACCCAACCTGGGATCTTTGTCTCTAGTAATTTTAGGCCTAGACCTGCTATTTAAAATTGTCCTGCTGCTGGCCACTTTTACACTGCTGCATCATCTGAGCTCCCTGAATTCTTAGTCAGAGCTTGATAGAAAATGGCCAATGGCAAGGTAGTTTTGCATCAGTGAAAACTGGGCAGCCACAGTGAGTCACTGGTTGATTTCTATCCACCAATCAAAGCAGAACTATTACTGTTTGATGAAAAAATATGTATTGATGCTAAAGCACCTGAAAACTCATTTTTATTCAACAGAAATACATTAGATTGGGGTGCTGCTGCTGTATGCAACACAAGTCAAAATAAATTCCAAATTCAATTAATTTCCTGACAGTATATGAGCTTCCAGTATCACTCAACCCAATCTGTGAATATTTACACATATTTTGTTGACTTTATCTCTAGCGCTGTGTTCCAAGTACTCCTTCCAGTGAATAC